TCTCCTGCATGTTGTATGTATCCAATTTGAAAATGTGCGATTCTTTTTCTTCAGTTTTAAGAATTATGTCATCACTGGATGTAAAACAGAACAGGTTTCAGGTAGAGTGAACTCGTTCTGCTGCTTACTACAAAAAAGGATCTTTGCATCCATTACAGAGGTCCTCCACCTTAAAACATGTTTTTTGAGATGTAAACTAAACTATACGACTGTACTGTGATGAAACACATCAATGCTGGTGTTAATATTGACATTCTTATCACATTTATGAAAAGGGCACAACACGCCCTCTCGAGTGTTTGGGACTAATTTAACGCCCTCTAATCAGAGGAGGGTGGCCCGCCTCCACTTTTGAGTGAAACCGCTGCACTCATTTTCAGATGTGTACTGATCGAGAAGCATCATTCACAGGACTTTCTGCTAACTGTCTCCTTAGTATTTTTCTATTCTGGTGCAATGTTCCTGCTATGCTGCTGTGGTCTGTCAATGGCTCCAGTCTGTGTTGTGGCCCCGCCCTCTAACGTCACTGTCATTTGCACCGTTCTGCTGCATATTTGACATTTGCTGAGAGGGAGGGAGCTAGCAGGACTGAAGGGTGTAGTTACACTTTAACTAGTTTTTGACCACTTTTAGCACTATGGAGCAATCATTTTATGAGCAGGCAGGAAAGGCGATACATCAGCTGGTAAAGGGTTCTCACTAATTCACTGACCATGTCATAAAAAGCATAGCAATGTTCCAACAAAGACAGTGAACACAATAATAAAAAAAAAAGTCTTTGCAGATGTTTTAAAAGGAAGGAATTGCATTCAAGACCTTAAGTATACACAAGTATATTTGTTTGTTTACAAGAAAACTCCACAGTGCACCTTAAAAAACATGTTGTAAATGACTGTAAATTCCCAGTAAATACACAGCTCTGTGATGGACTACATATGGAAAATGAAGTATAATATGCAGTACTCCAGTCTGGAACATCTCTGCACTGTTTTTAAGACATACAGCCTATCTGTCCCCCAGTAGTTTCACACCATTACTGCCGGGGCCTATTAGTGATGAATGATGTGGCTGCTGATGTGAAATTACTCTGATTGAGATGCTGTTGAAAACAGCTGGAGGCCTTGTTTACATTATGAGCTCAATACTGAATTTATCCGTTTTTTGCAAACTTGCAATGTGTAAGTGCTGTCCATTAAAGGACAGACCAGCTCAGAGTATGTATTTTGGGATTGGTCTTGTCTGTTAAGAATGCTGTAAGAATGCCATATCTGTACGAGGACTGACTGAATAAATGGTCTTGTAGTTCCAGTGTAAGCGCAGATTTCTGTGCCTGAAGCCTGGGCTGTCTGGCAGACAGGCAAAACCCATTAGCAAGGCTCTGTTAGCGATCGTCTTGTAAACCGAGGCCCCGGGCATTCATTAGGCATCAATCAAAGGACGAGGTGCGATGATTAAATGATGAGTGCAAATGCTTAACAGTGTTCGGTACACCAGGCCACTTTACTCTGACACTTGAAAATGGGGGAAAATGGATGGAAGAAAGATGACGTTAGTCTCCATGTAGATGGCTGGAACTGGATGGCTGCAACTGGTTAATTTATTCATGGCAGTTATTAAAGAAAGTGAATTTCAAAACCTTGAAGTCAAAGCTTGATGATGCCTACAAATGCTGGTGGAGCAAAGGGAATTCAGAGTGCTCGTGTTGGCTCTCAGTAATCATCGTTAAATTACACTTAATTTAGGAATTCACAGACTTTGTTCCTACTTCAAAGCTCAGAAAGCATCAGTAAGCTTTTAGTAGGCGGACTCTTTCCAAAATCAAACACCAGAACCAAGTTTGGGATCTGTGATATATGAGAAACTTTACCAATGCTCAGGCACCCATCCAGAAATCAATATGGTTGTTTCAGTGTATACTGAGCTTACATGGTGTTTGTTTTTACTTTATTGTACTTCTTTAGTCAATTTTAATTACCACGAGGATGATACTGGTTATTCAATTATGTGTACAGTCTATAATTAGGGCTGCAGCTATGATTTCAGTAATTGAGTATTCCACCGAGTATTCTATCGATTAATCGAGTAATCGAACAAGTAATACTTTTGCTTTTATTTACTTGCTATTAAAGAGCAATAGTAAATATACAAAATAGAAAACTAACTGGTTCTCGTGTTACCTGTAGGATTTTTTTCAGCAGCGAGGGGAAAGCCTTCTATTGTGCCCCTCTGTACTGGTAGTGGAGTATTTTCAAAGTGTGATATTAGTAAACAATCTGACCCTTCCTCCACCCACAGTCTAACTGCAGCTGTGTGTTACCGGCCGAGCCTGCCCTTTAAGAAAAGTCTTGAGTCTAGCGGGTTTGTTGTGGGAAGTGGGAGTCTTTCCCGGGGTGTGAGGGGTTGTTACGTTACTTTAGTCAACCATAAAAGTGTGGAGACTCTCAGGTTGCAGTACAATAGTAAACTGAAAGGCTGTGTGTTGTATTTGCTGCCACAGAAAAGCAATAAAAAGTCCCTGGTTATGTACTACACGACAACAGATTTGGTGAAGACTGTGCACGGCTAGCTAGTTAGCAGCTACGAGTCAGGTTAAAGACAATTAAAACAGCCTAAACCAGAGGCCTCCCAATACACTGATGCTGGGACAAGATAGATCACTTTCATAATAAACACACTGTACTGAGGGGGGGGGGTTCTGTTTTAGCTGGAAATGATCTCAAAGTTTGGACACTTTCTGTCATTGACTGATTGACTCATATTAGAATGGGGATTGTTATCTTCTGCAATTATAAATCAGTTCTCAGATTCCAAACATCAATTGTTTGTATGTTGTTATTTTATGTTGACAGGAATCCAACTGAGAGCACAGCACAGGGACAACACACACACACACACACACACACACACACACTACAGTGAGCCAAGCGTAAGGGTGCATTTTTGAAACAATAACTGGGGCCCATGACTATGTCTTCTCACAGAATCCCCTGGTAGGTTAATCCAATCCTTCACCATCTCTTTTACCATCCCCTCGTGTTCACTGTCATCTACACTGTACTTTCATGTCAAGTTCTTTCACAGAAAAAAGCAGAAATACCTTGAGTGTCTGTGTCATCATAATATACAGAAATAGACATATCACTAAGAAGCTGTTTGTCAAACGTATTCCATTCCTTTAGAAATGGAGAGAAAATGAGGCTTTCAGAAAATACAGTAATTTCCCAAGAGATTATTGAGTTCTTTTTATATACAAGTCATCACAACTTTACCCATATGATTAGATAATGCAGCCTGGAATACTGGTGTATTATGCTGCTCTAACATTTCACAATTTATGCTGAAAGTTTCCTTTACAGTAAGGAAAACTTTCAATTTGAATAAAATACTGTTGTAATACTGTAAATGACTGTGTTCATCATCAATTGTGTTAGTACTGCAATCAAATCCAGAGTTCAGAAGGCTCAACTGTTCACTGATCACTTAACATGACATATGTCATAGCTTGCTGTTGTATATATGTACTGTGTGTGTGTGTGTGTGTGTGTGTGTGTGTGTGTGTCAGTAAGACTGAGCTCCAGTAGAGCTGACAGCTTGCTGTGACAGAGAGCCTTAAACAAACCCACTGGGTCGGCTGCTGCACAGGAGAAATGCCTTTGATTCTATTAAGCCTGTGTGTGTGTGTGTGTGTGTGTGTGTGTGTGTGTGTGTGTGTGTGTGTGTGTGTGTGTGTGTGTGTGTGTGTGTGTGTGTGTGTGTGTGTGTGTGTGTGTGTGTGTGTGTCGGCCCTGTTGGCCTAAAGATCTCAGGCCTAATAGCAGGGTGAAGATGTGAAGAACGTCCTTACTGCTGTTTTATTTACATGCACTCTTTCATCCTCTGCTGCTCTCCAAAGAGTGTGTTGAAAAAACATTTAATGTAAAATCAACATGATCGGTTAATACATTTATGTGCCAAGAAAATTAACCCCTTAAAGCTCTTTATTTGAACATTCATGTATCCTGAGTGTAAACCAAACGAACCCACAGCAGCGGAGGTGCAGGCAGTGTTTCCAGCACTGTCCCACTGCTCCACTGGCTGTTCCAAACAATGCCTGCACTGTGCTCTCTGGGTATTTCTAGTTAGGCCACGCATAGTATGGGATGGGCTTTAACTCATGGATTCAGAACTTGTACCGGTCTGAGGAGATAACAGTGTCCAGCAGTTAACTTATTATTATTGTTTTTGGAGGTTTGAGAAGAGGTGAAATTATTTAGACTGGGTTGCACCAACTATGTGTGTGTGTGTGTGTGGGTGGCAGAGCGTCTTGGTTTTTATTCCGCCGCCCGTTAACAGCTGCATCTGCAGCTACACTTCATTATAGTCGAGGTCTCGCCTGTTTTTACCCCGAGCGGCTCCCAATAAAAGAGCACAGTGAAAGGATCTGTTGGTAGTCATATCCACATATTTGACTACAGTTTAAACTTCCTTTTCAAAGTAAAAGCACTGTAGTAATCTTTTATTTAACACTTCACTTGTAAAAGAATTTCTGGAAGTGAATTGGTTGAAGGGCAGTATCTCTCTCTCTGAACGCACACGCTGTTCAGGCGGCCTGTGACAACAGGGTGTAAAGTCGACACCAGAGGCCCAGTAACTACTAGTTAGTTTGTTACTAAATCAGCTATTAAATTTGGTTGCACCACAACTACTTTGTTTGGATATAAGGTCATAACTAAGGTAAGTGGCCAATCAACGATCTAAGATCCATTGTCATAGTTACCGTGCACATTAGCTTTCTGGCTTACATGAGCCACTTGGCATCATATTACATCATAGTAAGCTAGATCAATATTGAAATATATCAATAAATTAGGTCTCTACTTGATTACTGTGTCACAAAATGGCAAATGACAAGTATCTGTGTAGATTTAGATAGAGTAAGGGATGATGATGAAATAGTTTGATTGTTTCATGTTGCCATCTTATTGTATAATCTGCTTTATTAAAAATATGGTTTGTTGCAGATGGATCACAAGCTTGTTTTGGGACTACTATGGAGAGAAGATAGCGCCCTCAGCAGCAGCACAGTGTTTTTGGGAATTGTGGTGGTCCAAGATATTCACTGATTCAAAGTTGGTGCTGCGTCTGCTGGGTCCCTGCCCCTCTCCTGACTCCCTGATAAAGACAGACACAGTGAATGGACAAATCCAGAACTTATTGTGCAAACGAGTGGTGCTAAAGTTCCCACTCTGGATGCAGAGAACAATCCTCCAACTGGAAACGGAACAAACCACCTCCTCTCTCCCTCTGTGTTAGGGTGACTGTGATTCTGTTCGCTACAAAGGCCTTCATACATCATCCATGCAGTGGATGACAAATACTGCCTTAAAGTCCAGCTGGAATTATACTGTTTGTTTTTTGCTACATTATCTGTAAATCACATGTCCTGTGTGCATCATTTTTAACCATATTTTGTTAAAGCAGTAACAGCAGTGGTCTATCATGGACAGATACATGCTACAAAAAGCCTTTCAACAACAACAACCTTCATGGCTTCATGTTTAAGTTTATTTCACTTACAGACATGAACACACACCTTGTTCTGCACCTTAGCTTGTTGAACAAGCCACCAAACATGGCCAATTGGCTGCAGCACATAAACATATAAATGATCACGTTGGTGGTTTACATGCTAGCGTGAGCCTTACTCTTCAGCATCACTGCTAACAACACACTGTTTGTTTGCTTTTTCTCTTGTTCCACTTCCAGCCTGCCAGCTGCTGTCAGTCAAACAGACACGCTTTTGAGAGGAAAGGATTTTTTTATTAAATTAAGAGGACATTGACATTGTTTTTGACTGCAAAATGGGATGCATGAATATCATTTCAGTTGGAAATTTCATTTCAAATTTCACTTGCTCATGCTCAACTTGGTCTTTTTAAAATATGTTTAATGAAGGGTTTACATGTCTGAACTTGATGCTATTTAAATCAGAGCACTTGTGTAACTGGATATTATTTTTCTGCGTTATTGTCTTAATCATTTTGTAATTGTACTTTTGATATGCAACAAGCTTTAATTTTGCTTTTTTCATCCTGTAACACTTCATGGTTGGTCACAACTGTCCAAACAAAACCACAACTACAATGGTTTGTCTTTAGTAAACTGCCTGAGTGTGTGCTACGAGGCCAGATTAATGGGTTAGTGAGGTATGCACACCTAACCTGCTCCAGAGGTTATGTTCAGAGTTTCAGATTTAAATCGGCTGTAAAAAGCGCCGCACTTTTCACTAATTCTTTCTTTCTTCTGATCATATTCTCTAAGTGATTGTCAGCTGAGAAAGATGTTATATTCGCAAACTTTTTGCGCCATACATTAGTAATGCCACTGAATTAAGCTGTATAATTACAGTTTAACAAACTTTATGTAATATGTTGCCATAGGAACTTACATGCAGTCATTTGGTGATGCAGAGAATATTTTCCCCTGGTTGCTTCAGTTGATATTAACACTTCTGCCTTATTTATGGTGGTATGAGCCTAAAATAAAGTGATTTTGCTGTGATTTAATGTCGATAAAAGGATGCCAAAATAACTACAATATGATGGCAATTTGTAAAAAGTCTGAATCCATACTTTGTTACATCTGTGCGTGTTTTAAAATGCTTGTTTTCTGAACTGAGTTCGGATAGTAAAGTAAGATACATATTTTCAGCAACCACCAGGTAGTCTACTTCCCCTCTTTTCTCAGAGCAATCTCCTGTTTTGCCCGGTCTCTATATAAATATAAAGCTCGGAGGGGGGGGTCCTCCCTGGTAATCCACTTTTTAATCCCAAAGTTTAAAAAAATAAGCTCTCCTCTTGCCAAACGTCTCAAGATCAGAGCAGGATCCGGTGGGACTACGGGTGTTTATTCCTCCAGAAGCTCCGGCTCTCTTCTGCAGAGCGCCTCAGGCTCAAGCGGCTGTCTGTGGGCCAGCAGCAGCTCTGGCTCTCCACCCCTTCAGGGGCAAGTGTATTGACTGTGTGTAATCTACTCGCTCAAATATTTTTATTTGCCTTGGTGGGAACGGAGCATTACACAGTATATCATCCATTCACATAATGAAGGCACAGCAAGTACAGACCATGTTGGTATATCGATATTTATCACAGGTAATATAATATCAATAAAATTCATTTTACTATTGGTCAAAAACTAAAGTGATCTTGTATATCCTTCCTCCTTATGGGACAGTGTTAGAACTAAATGCATTTCTTGAGTTTGATGTTTAAACACTTTATCAAGTTTAACAGCTCTACAATGTGCAGTTGTCATGTTAGAAACGGCAGGCATTAAGAGTGCACTGAGTGGGAAATATAAATATATTAACTCCAGAATTTACTAAATTAGCAGTTTTCTGCCAGCATCCTCTCTTCACTTATTTGTAGTAGTAACACTGCTGCTTTTTGATATCATTTTTTTATATTCTTCATCTCTCTGTTATAATGACCTGTTCCTCTTGCCTGAAGTAGGCGGCATGCGATTGGTCCATTTTGCGCAGAAGAAGAGTCAAATGATGCACCAAATCCTCTTTTATGGGAATGTGCACAGAGCCTGATGAAGAGTACCCCGTTGTGACACTATTGTCTCTGACTGGGATTTTAGGTTCTGTCAGGCCAGCTAAGACTATGTCAAACTAGCTTTGCAGTACACCTTCTCGCGGTGAAAATTCAGAACTAGATTCAGCTCATTTGAATCTATCTGAGAGGCCCTTCACCACGCACACACCACGAAACAAAGCCAACAGAGCTGATGATGGTAACTATTTCTGTTCACTTTCACACAAGCATCAACTCTCAAAGGTCAACATCTTCTAGATAGTATTGTAAATGAAACCATCCAAATGTCCCTAAAAGAATTATTGACTGTCAGTTGAATCACTTAGAAAATACCTCAGAGTTCATTAATAGTCCCTGTATGGTTTGCCATGAAATCAATACATGAATAGACGCTACATAAAACAAAACCACGTGTGGTCACTGACAAGATATCATTACTTGGTCAATGCGAAATATTTCTGTCAATTCACTGATTTGATTTCCACCTCTGAGACCCACTCTGCTGGATTTTCTTGATGCTGTAAATTCTGCATTTCAGAGATACAATGTGCTTGTCTCTGTGTGTCCGTGTGTTTCAGTGCTGGATGCAAAAAGGCAGAAAGAGGAGATTGTCACAGTGAGCGCAAAACAGATCATACAAGCCACTTAACAGCACTATAGCCAACTGGTACAAGGGAGCGAGAGGAAAATCCAGCCATGCCAGCGTGCCAATATAGTTTACCAGCTCGCTGAGAGGCGGGCAGCACCTGACAGATGCCACTTGGGAGCATAATCCCAGAGGGCTGAAAAGATCCTCCACATGACGGGAAGCCAGTGAAGCAGGAGGAGACTGGAATACCAAACAACAAAATGCAATGTGAATTCGAATTAGGATTTAAAAGGAAATATCTATCCATCATATCTATCTCTTCCTTTTTCACTGTGTATTAGTTGGTTGACAAAATAATATTATTCTGATGATGAATTGATGTTTTGAGTCACTTCTTTAGACCATTGGCTGGTTTGAGACACTCAAAAAAAATTGTGACAAAATATTCAAAATAATTATTTGTGACAGCCCTAATAAAATATTATTATTATTATTATTATTATTATTATTATTATTGGCAGTAGTAGTGGTAATAGACTTAACAATTTAAATACATTTCAGTTCAACCAGGTATTGTTAGTTTTCAAACAGCAGTGGGTTCTCAATAAATGAATCTCTCTCTTTTGCCCAGCAGAATTGTCCTTTATTCTTATTATAAGACCAGAAGAATGTAAGTAAACCCGGGCCTATAGCAGCTGGTTTAGGGTGGCAGCATTACACTTCATTACTTTATTAAAATGTGAGCATTAAAACCCTCTGATATTTCTAACATGTACAACAGGATTACAGTCATTTTAGTATGGGGGTTAAATCTCTCCCGCGTTCTCTCATGCTGTCCACACAGCTTTGGTGAAACAAACAAAAGGGGCGCTTTGAATGGCACGTGCTCCAGGCGTCAGTCACCTGTTTCCTAGCAACTGGCAAAACAGAAAAGCACCTGTGGCTCTGAATAGGAGGCTGTGTAGCCCTTAGTTTGACAAAACCCAGGGAGAAATTAAAAATATATATAGGCCTTTTAGTTATTATTATAAGCTATATAGGTCATATTTGATAAAATAGTAATAAGTCCCATTAAAATAATTAAATCTCAAAATCAGATCCTATATGGTATCTAATTTAGAAAGACATGATTACTTCAGAGCCCATGCTAATGAGCTTAATGTGCTCCTTCTGTATTTTCAGTTATTGAGCTCCTAACGCAGCTGTAAAAGTACAAGATTTATGTGAATATCAATGAAAATACTAATATTGTTTACCTAGTTCTGTACTTTTTGTACTTGTTGTGATGGTGACGATGATGGGCTTATTAAGGCTATGATGAATCATTTGGCTATTTTAAATGGCCACCATGTTTACTTTATTTTGATTTTCATTAAATGTGTCCTTGCTGTAACACAGGCTTCTTGTTGCAGCAATTTCCCTTATTGTTAAACTTTTATTTGCTGTAAAATGTTTAAGAATAGAACAAAAAAAGCGAAGTGCTAAATGCTGTATAGGCTGCCTAAAGCGGAATTGTGGGAATTAAACTGATTACATGTTGTGTGTTTTTTAGCTACACACACAAAACAGATGACAGAGGGAGTAATTTTTAGGTCTCGCGCTCCGACGTCACCAGAACCTCGAGCCCCTGCATGCAAATCACGTCTGCGCTCGAGCCTCTCCATTGGCCGTCTCTCGCTCATTTAGCTGCTGTCAGAGCGCGCGGCCCAGGCACGCTCCGGTAACTTTTCCCAGTACAGCTTCACCAAAGTATCTCCATCAACCGGTTTCTATTCTTCTCGGCGCTCGCGGATGACAGGAAAAGGGCAAAAAGGGGAAGTTCGTAGCAAGTTTACCTCTGAGTGGATTTCATCCTGAGACTACAGCACCTTTCCGTCTCTCTCTCTGCTTCTTCCACTCTTCATCTGTCTCTTCCTCGGAGGTTTAGCTGCGCGCGGGCCAGCCTGAATGTTTCTGTGTGTTTGACTGAGAAGTGTTGTCCTACCAAGACGAGGTGAATGTACAGCATCATGATGGAAACGGACTTGCATTCCCCCGTGGTGCCCCAGACCAACCCATCCAACCCGGGGGGACACGCGGGAGGAGGAGGCGGGGGGGCCGGCGGAAAAGTCCCCCAGGACAGAATCAAGAGACCCATGAACGCTTTCATGGTCTGGTCCCGGGGCCAGCGGAGGAAAATGGCACAGGAGAACCCCAAGATGCACAACTCGGAGATCAGCAAGCGGCTGGGCGCTGAGTGGAAGGTGATGACCGAGGCGGAGAAGAGACCGTTCATCGACGAGGCGAAGCGGCTCCGGGCCATGCACATGAAGGAACACCCGGACTACAAGTACCGGCCGCGGAGGAAGACCAAGACGCTGCTGAAGAAGGACAAGTACTCGCTGGCCGGCGGACTCCTCGGCTCCTCTGCGGGTGTGGGGATGGGTGGCGGGCAGCGACTGGAGAGTCCTGGAGGGGGCCACGTAGGGGCAAATGCGGGCTACGCCGCGCACGTCAACGGCTGGGCAAACGGCACGTACTCGGGCCAGGTGGCGGCTGCGGCGGCGGCGGCTCATGCGATGATGCAGGAGGCGCAGCTGGCGTACACGCAACACCCGGGCACCGGAGCTCACCCGCACCACCCGCACCCGCACCATCACCCGCATCACCACCCGCACAACCCGCAGCCCGTGCACAGGTACGACATGAGCGCCTTATCTTACAGCCCCATCTCAAACTCTCAGAGCTACATGAGCGCCTCTCCGCCGGGCTACGGCGGGATCACCGGCTACACTCACCAGCACCAAAGCTCCGGTGTCTCCCCGGTGTCCGGGTCGATCGGAGGGACTTTGGGGTCCCTTGTGAAATCTGAGCCTAGCGTGAGCCCCCCGGTTTCCACCGCGCGCGCACCGCCACCGTGCCCTACGGGGGACCTGCGGGACATGATCAGCATGTATCTGCCGACCGGCGAGGCGGCGGGAGACTCCAGCGTTCATAGCAGACTGCATGTGCTCCACCCGCAGCACTACCAGAGCAGCGGCTCCACTCCGGTAAACGGGACGGTCCCTCTGACTCATATTTAAATCTTTAAATGTACTATAAGCACTACAACACCACAACCAAATATTTAAAAACTAGATGTGGGCGCAGGCTGCTGAATTGTAAATTATAGGCGGTTATAGCCATAAAAATGCAATCACTTTGAACAAACTTTTTTATTGTTATTTTTATTTTCTTTCAGTGATGGATTTCTGTCTGTCCGAGCTAAAGGAAAGCGCATCCGATTTACTTTTGCTCTCTGGAACAGAGCATGCCAAGTTTTGACACGATTTAAATTATAATCCGTGAAGGCTGGTGCATTTTGAAGGTTATTTTTTTCCGACTTTTCTGTGGAATTAAAAGGCACCAGCTGTGTGTTTGAGGGACCCTTAAAACCTGTTTAAAGAGGGAAGCGTATAATAAATGGAGGGCGGTGTGGAAGATGTGTTAAAATAAAGTTTCTAGGCTGCAATTTAAATTGATTTCCAGTTTTAATGCTTGTAAACATGTGAGTCAGTCGGTGTAATTTGAATTTGTTTTTGTTGTTGTAAAATCTTGTACATTGTGAATAAATAGGCCTACTGAAAACGCTTTAATGCAATTGTACATAATTTACAAAATACCAAGCCCCATTTTCGGGTTGAAGACGAGACAATTTTGCGCTGAGTTGAATAAATTTTCCAAGAATTTCTTCTCTTGGAGAAAGTGTTAGATTTGTTCGTGGGGTATTTATTTGTTACAAGAGGCTCATCTAAAGTGTTCCTCCAGTATTTGATGTTTCTTTACGTTTATTCCATTTCTGAAATATATTTTAAAATGCTGATAAGCTTATTGTTTGACTCTTGGCAAACAGTACAAATCTGCTCAAAATGCAAATGATAACAAAAAAGAATAATTACAACATTACAGGCAGATGTGTTTTCTCATTGATGCCAATGAAAAGATTAATTATCAGCTGGGCTGTTAATTGATTCTTTAGAATTTTAAATAATGGTAATAATGATCATATTTTATTTGATTTCTTAGAGTAAAAATCAGTTAACCTTCTAATTACCCGTCTTATAAACTGGCATAAATCTGGATAATATGCATTTTATCACTATAAATTCATGCTGGACATCAGAATGGGTAATGTGGCATATTAAGGTGATGGGAGTTATGTAAGGATGTGGAATTTAAATGGGGAAATAGCCAATGAAAATAGACTCTATACAGGCCTACATTGTTAATTAAATGTATTTTATTTTAAATTTTGATTTTATATCAGCGTTTTCTATCCTAGGATTTCATTCAGTATTAATATATAAACATAGGATCAAATATTTTGTAGGTGGATAGTTTATCTGACAGTCTGTAACTCAAAGTTGCACTAAACACTTGTAATATCAGCGTAATAATGTCCTAATCTTCCATTTTTCTATCATTTTAAATGGGGCCACAATGATGGTTTAGTCTGGGTATTTAGAACTAAAGCACATGTTCATGTTTTTTAGTGTTTATTAATGCCAGAACAAACACAGTATATGCAAGACAGAAACAAAATGGGGATGTATTCCATTTTAATGAATTATGTTTGTTATGTTGGTTTCCTATTTTCGCAAGTTATGGTGTAGGATATTTTTTAAAAAGCCTTTTTCCCATGAGCTATTGTACTGTACTCCTGCATCTAAAATATGTACTCTTCAGGATGAGAAGGCCTTTCTTTCATCAATTTTTTTACCTCCTCAAATTCTAGCACAATTATCTGTATTTTGGCCAGCATCATCAGAGATTTACTTTATAACCTCAATGATCAGACCCAAGTTTCTATGCTGAAATTGTTCTTCTGTTATAACATTGCACTCAAAGGCCAAGCAAAGCAAAGTTTCTTCCTTTTTTTGTGGTCGTGACCTCAGTAATCTAGATCTCAAGCAAAAGTAAATCCGACAACAAGAGTATCCGCTGCTCAATGAACTACTAATTCTTCAGCTGGCCTCAATTGGGCCCACTTCACTCCACCTGGGTCCCTCACAGGTCCTTAAAATCTTCCCCCGGCTCCTCACCCACAGCATCAAACGCCTGCATCTCTGTGTGTGTAATTCTCCTGGTTGTTAAATTATTTCCTTCTTTAAGTTTGATGGCTGAATCACTGGAGGCCCCGGGGAAGGATGGGGTAAGGGAGAGAGGGATGAATGAGCGGAGAGCAGAGAGGCGGAGGAGGAGGAGGGAGAAGGCGAGGAGAGGAGGTTTTTTGTGTTGGAGGAGAATGGGGATTAGTCCTGGTGTAAGCTGGGGCAGCCCGGAGGTCACCCCCAACAAAAAGCCCAGCAAACAACACCCCTGGTTTTATCAGACTAATTCCCACTCGGGTCTGGGCTTAAAAACAAGAGGGCAACGTGGACGCAAATAATATATAATAAAGCTGTTTCCATGCATGTCAGGGGTTTATACTGAAGGTGTTTATTAGACGCCTGAATGTTCCCCAATATGATTTTTTAAAGTTAAATTTCATATCAGATTCATTTAAATTCCTTGTCTTGTTCTTGGTTTATTTTCAAATTACTAATTCAATTTTATTATAACTTTATTCATAAAAATAATACATATATACATTAAAATACAACCCAACAAACCTGTGTGTAAATATGCAGACAGGGTCATTTTAAAGGATTAATGCATAAATAGGTTATATTTTTTAATCTGTGGTGGGTAAGAAAATACATTTTTAACCACCTTTTTATTTGCATTTTACTACTGCATGACTGATAACAATAAATGTTAACTCTTGTTTTCTCATTCTTTTAGATCATATTGATGTAACAAAATATAAAGCTATATCTATAACCTGCCTGGGATCATTTAAACAGTTGTCTATAGTGACAGTCAGTAATCATGGCTGCTTATTTATCCCTAAAAGAATTCCACATTTGATCGATAATTGATTCATTCATGTGAAGATCAGAGAAAACTGAAAAGCTGTAAAAGATTTGTTGTTCAGACTTCCTAATACATAAACTGACATTAAAGAGTAGAGTTGCGATGTTTAGTCGATTAATTGCCAATCATTTTTTGAGAAACGATGAATCAGTTTAGTCATTTTTAAAACAAAAATCTCAAACATTATCTGGTTCTAGCCTCTTAAATGTGAGGATTTTCTACTTCCTTTGCCATTATAGTAAATGAAGAGTCTTTGGGTTCTGGACTATTCGTTGGACAAGAGACGTCACTTTGTGCTCTGGGAAATTGCGAGGAGCATTTTTAACAATTTCTTCAAATTTTTTTTTTGACTAAACATTAATCGTGAAAATAATCAATCGTCAAATGAATCAATAGTTAGTTGCAGCCTTACTAAAGAGTGTCAGGTAATATTTGTATTGCTGAAAATACTATTCTATTTTAAAGTGTAAAAGTGAAACAGTGTGTGTGTGTGTGTGTGTGTGTGTGTGTGTGTGTGTGTGTGTGTGTGTGTCAAAGATAAGGAGGTGAGATATGTGTATGTGTTATATGTTCTGTTCAGTGTGGTAAAGCCTCTAAATACAGCTCTAGTTGGACTAGTTGATCAATCATGTCTTCATGAAACTGGAAGATCAAAGATGGACAGATTTTGTCACAAAAATCACACTGTACAACTACTGTGGGCCGCATCAACTCACTAAACCTAAAGGTATGTTGACATTTTCTTCCGAATACACCAAATACCGATCCACGAAATGTCTGGGAATAAAATGAGTGAATCATTTATAAGAATTAGAAACTGGAAACTGTGACGAACCAAATGATCAGGTTTATTATCAGCTCCTGATGTGACGATGACAGCATCACGTTTGACCTCAAGCTCATGTAAGAGGAAATACACCCAAATATCTCCACCTCTTTAAGGATATTTGGGATCGATCAGTCACATGCAGCCCGGTCTGGTCCACTCGGCCTCAGTGGCCCAGGATTCTCCCATCACTGAGGCTGGGGGCTGGACCATCACATCCATGTGTCTGCAGGTTTTCATCCTCTCCCCATGTTCTGCTTGGCACATGCTTGGACACCACTGCTCTGGCACTTCCCACTCCATAACCCCATGCACCCCCCCCCCACCATCCCGCGTGCTCCCGGTGTCCTAAACGTGGCTAATCGGCATCAGTTTATCACGCCTCCGCATATTTCCCTCCCTCTCCTCCTATAAAAACTCTCACCTCCGACGTTGGACCCGGTTCTGTCATGGGAGATTACGGGGGACCGATTGCACAAGACCGAATGTGGCGCGAGGAGATTAGCCGGGACGCCATAGAAAATAGCAACGGGGCCAACAGATTCCTCGCGAGGGGGCCTTATCGTGCAATTACACGTTGACACGTTTTAACCATTTTTCAGCCTCTTAATCCGAGGGCCCCCCTCCTCCCCTTCCCTCCCCCCTTCTCTCTCCAAAAGCAGACCTATTGGTGCTGAGGGAGCCTTGCTGCTCTCTGTCTGACTCTCTCCATCACTCTGAAAAGTCTGCCACATTTTCTCTTTTTCTCTGTTAATATTTCTAAACATTTAAAAAAGGGAAAATTACCAAGGAGTTGTTCAGATTGTTGCAGTTTCGAAACTTTAGAAGCTAAATTAAGAAAAACATATTGAACGTTTAAGAGTTTTAACAAGACCACTGTGGAATATATATGGAAACTTTCTCCCTATATTTAGATTTTTATGACAGTTTATGACTTGATAAAACCAAACTATCACTGCCCCATACACAATTTCTTCACAACTGTCTCGGAAACTGATTCTTGCCTTCAGGTTGTGTGTTATCCTGGTGTCCAGTGTAGGCTGCACTGTCAGCTGAAGCCAGTTTATAAAATACAGAATGCTTAAAAACAATATCTTTGAATAATATGTAAATGAGTATTTTCCATTAAGCTTATTGTATCTGTAATTTAGAGTATATATTGTAGGTGGGTTGGGATACTTAGCCAAACAGTGCCAGTAGATATTATAGCAAGTCTCTTTTGCCATCTATCTTTTGTCAGTCCTGTTGTCAGGATTTTAGAAATACTGAGGTAAAATACTGAATACTGTAAGAGCTCCCAGAACACACTTTTTACACTTTTCTTTTTAATTTTTTTTTTTCTTTTTAGCATTTTATCGCTTGCCAACAAGCCAAATCTTCTTCCCCTAGTTTATCCCAAACAAACCAGGGATGCGGTCAGGGTAAAATATATTGTCTCTCCACTGAGAGTAAATCAGATTGCATTCTCTAGGGCAGTGGTGTACACAATGAAAACAGACATATAAAACGTGTACAAATAACAGGAAGACTAAATGTAAAAAAACTCATACCAAAATTCATAACTGTATTTATTAGATAAAGTGCAGTGATTGTTGATAAACTGCAGAAGTTGACTATGGACCACTATAAGACAGGCCAAGCAGAAGGTGCACTGTGTAGTATTTTCACTCTGCTTTAGCTCAAAATGACTGCAACAGTCTAATTTCTTAATTTCTGTCTCTTACAGCAGCCAATAAAAGTCAAAGATGACTTCGCTCTGTTTTAGTTGCAGCTGATGTAAAAACTTCCATGAACTCTGATTCTTCCCACATAAATCTCAATGTAGACTACACCGCAGCCACTGCCTCGAGGTTT